GCTTCGCTCCACCAGGCTCCTTGATCTGCCTGGGTGAGGTCGACTTCAGGCTGAACCCCTCTCCCAGCCTCCACTGCTGAAAAGGCTGCGCTCCTGGTACTGGGTCCCCCTGGGGACAGCTTGAGGCTGCCTTTCCTAAGCCACAGTGTAAGATTGGTCTGAGACACAGTGTAAGATTGGTTGTTCCCGGGCTCCTGAGCAATTGGGCAGGCTCACCCCAGAGACTGAGGGTTAGACAGAGCCCTGAGTCTAAGATGCTGCCACCATGAGCCCAGAGGAAAAACAGATTCAAGTCACCTCCAAAGAGGAGAGGAGCATGGCAATCTTCCCTTGCACATGTGTGCCAGGAGGAGACTGGATTGGAGAAAATGCTGCTGGTATGGCTGCATAGGTGTGGGTACATCCCCAGATCATGTGCTGCTTGGTCCTCTTGTAGCAACACTGAATGAACCATTAGGAGGCTCAGGAAGGTGGGTCATTGAGGACATTGCCCTTGAAAGGGAGTCCTGTTGGTCTCGTGGGCTGAGTTAGTTCTTTTGAGAGCAAATAATCGTAAAACAGCAAGTCCAGCCCCTTCCGGCTTCCCACCTCACCATGGTGCCTCTCTGTACTTGCTCTCACCACTGTGGCCACCTGGAGCCCAGCAGAAGCTGGAGTCATGCTCCTGGACCTCTGGAACTGTGAAACAAACCTCTTTCCCTTACACGTTACCCAGCCTCAACTGATGGGTTGTAGCAATGGAAAATGAACTAAGCCGATGTTGGATAGGACCAGTGGTTTCATCTATAATGTCCATTATCTATTTCTTTCTTTTGGGGGGGGATACCAGGGATCGAACTTGGGTCCTTGTGTTTATGAGGCAGGCAGTGGAACCCCTGAGCTAAATCCCCAGCCGTGTCCATTATCTTTCTAAGTCAGGCTTTCATGGGGCTTCCTAGGTGCTACTGGAGAGCGTGGGGCCCCTCAACTTCAAGGTCCTGCAAACTAGATTTCTTTGTCTGTCTCCTCCCAGAGGGACCATGACTGCCTTTTGCCGTGTCCTTTCCTGACCTTGGGGACAGAGGCAGCTGAAGAAATATGGGTAATGCAGAGGATGTAGCCCTGAGATCTGGCCCATACCAGGAGACACTGTCCTCCCATTTGATGCAGAGAACAAGAATCCTTAGGGATGTGGTGATCTTCTGCTCCCTGGGGATGCCCCAGGCCATGCTGAGAGTACAGAGCCTCTCCATGAGCCTAGCTGCAGGTCTTCTTGGTTGGTACCAGGCTGCTTCTTCTAGAAGCCCAACCTTCCTCAGGGAACTAGAGTGCCACTATCTCTGTCCCTCTGACTGGCCATATCTGACATACCTGCCTGAGGTCTGGGCACACCTGCCACCTTGCAGCCTGAATCCAGTAGCCACACTGAAGCCACACACAGCCTGCAGCAGATGTCACAGAGATCCCCAAGCTCTTTGTTGACCTCACCTGCTTCCTGTGGCCTCTTTTTGGCCCCTGCCCCCTCCTTTCAGCTTGCCAGGAACAGGCTGCACACCAGAGAGCCTCCTCCCATCCTGTCCACCCCACTTCATTCTTCCTGCACAAGGCTCACTCACAACATATATCAGATTTAGTTTGGGGACTCTCCTCAGCCCTTTTGGATTTTTTATTTTGAAAGAACATCTTTTTAAGTCACTAAATTGCCCTGGCTGGGCTTGAACTTACCATCCTCCTGCTTCACCCTCCCAGAGTGCTGGGATTACAGGTGTATGCCACCATGCCTGGTTCTTAACTGATCATTCACATTTCCCTTCAGACTCTGGCCAGGGGAGGATGTGTTATCTTTAAAGTATAGACAGACTTTGACTTACACTGGTTTTGCATTTTATGTTGGTGTAAAATTGTGCCTGTAGAACCATTCAGTTTTTCACCTTTTTTGGGGGGTTACCAGGGTTCAAACTCTGGACCTTGCATTTACAAGGCAGATGGCAGAACCACTGAGCTAAATCCCCCCCCTCACTTTCTGTACTATATTGATAAATGACCCAAGATGTTCAACACCTGGTTCAAACTCTGGACCTTGCATTTACAAGGCAGATGGCAGAACCACTGAGCTAAATCCCCCCCTCACTTTCTGTACTATATTGATAAATGACCCAAGATGTTCAACACTTCACTATAAAATAGGTTTTGTATTAGATGCTTTTGCCCAACTGGAAGCTGATGTAAACATTCAGTTATAGCAGAAGCTCTACTGCTGTGCCTTGAACCTCATCTGCTCTCCACAGGGGAGTGGGGACAAAAAAAGGCCAGGTCCAACTGACCCACTAATGACAGATAGCTCCATCAAGAACCTGCTTGGGAAGGCGACCTGGGGCATTGGCTCCTGGTCTGGCCACTGACCAGAAAGTGCTTTCTTCCACGCCTCAATTTCTCCACCTGACAAACAATCAAGTTCAGCATCCACATCACCCTTGGCACCCTCAGGCTGAGGAGGAGACCTGGAATGTTTTTATTTTTCCTTGGGAAAATTTTCCCTTCAAAGTGCAGTGTTTTATTATAGACATTTATGGAAACAATAGCAGTCAACAGCAATTGGTTTAATTATGATCATTGAGGAAGAAGAGGAGGAGAGAGAATGGATAATGAAGGAAGGACCTGCTTATTTCCCAATTCCCAAGGACTTCAGGCATCTCCTGGAGCACACCCAAGTCAGAAAATGCACAAGGCCTTTGTGGCAGTTACTAATGGCCAATAGGATTCTATCAAGCTGGGCAAGTGCTATTTCCATCCTGCTGGAGACAGGGCTAAAGTTAGAAAGTGATCCTGGGAAGTCATTCTCTCTAACAGCTGGAACTAGAGCAGGAGGGAGACAGGAGGAGGTGGCCAACCCCAGACAGACCACCCCTTCCTGACCCCAGCATAGACCTAGGGCTCAGGTGTTAGGGTGGGGACCACATGGACACAGCCTGCAGTCACAGGTAGAGTGGGCAGGTACTGGGCCTCCAAAGGACTCTCCTGGTCCCTCGCCTGCTTCCATTGGACCAGATGCCAGGGCACCCCCAGCCCATTCTTCATTGAGTCCTGATCCTCATCTCTGAGTCATCCTTTGATGAGGTCCCACTTCCCATCTGCACCCCATTATTAATTGGATCATGCCTTCCATGACTATGTGTTCTTTTCCCCCAGCTCTGAGAAAGTACGGGGGGAAGGGTTAGGACTCTGGGGCTAGCCCAGCCCTGACTCAAACTTAGGCTCCCTCACCCCAGCAGAGACATCCCTCAATCCCCACACCTCTCACCAGCATCCCCCCCGCCAGCCAGAACTCAAGCTCCAAGTCTCAGTAGAGTTTGTGGGATCCTGAGAACCACCACCAGTCCCTCCATCCCAGTTCCTGGTGGCAGCAGGGAGAGAGGCCAGGGAAAGTCACAAACTTCTATTTTCTCTTTAAACACAAAGAAAACAAACCTGATGCACAACTGAGAGAAGGAGAATTGAAAGTCTCCCATTATGCTGCTTGGAGATGATCATTGTCTGCTTGTACTGTTCTGTAATCTGCTCATTAACACATTGTGAGTACCCTTCACGGAAAAAGAGACATTTTTACATCATTTTCTTCAATGGCTGCTAGAGGCACCCTCTATCCATCCAGTAATACCTCCCCATAGCCTGTATGGCTATAAGTGACATCCTGGGCACCAGGCATAGTCGTTTAGGAAATAGGCCTGTGCAGGCACATCTTCGGGCATGTGCCTGGCCTCTCCCAGCTGGTGACTGGAAGGGGCAGGGCTTTGGCAGAGGACACACCTCCACTGGGACTCCCTTTCCCTGAGTCCACACCTGTCAGGGTCACTCCAGCTTGGACTGGGAGCGGTCACCTGGCATACACCATGGGGACCCAGCAGGCCCCAGCAGAAGTAGGGAGAGAGAGCCTGATTCCTGGGCCTATGTGCCTGCTCGAAGTCCCTTGACGTCCAGAACTTCACGAGGTGGCCTCTATTTCTGGGCAGCTGGAGCCGGATGTGGAACTATGTGAAACTGGGCCGTCCCTAGCACTCCAGAGGCAAGAGGCGCTTCCGGGACACATCTGCAGGAGGCAGCCTGGCACAGCGTCCGGGGAAGGCACAGGGATCCCCAGCTTCCCCACAGACTGTCAAGGGCACCTGGCAAAGCCCTGCCCCCCACCCCAAGACTCCACCCCTCCCCTTCCTACAGTTGGGCGGGTGCCCAGGTAGCTCAGGAGCCCAAACCTGTCTGGCCGGTTTTGAGAACTGCTGGGACCGTGGGGGAGAAGGCTACCCGAGGATGCACGGCCGGCCTCGTGCTCCCCCGATCCCTCCGCCAATCGCACCCTTCCTGCCCGCCAGCCCGACCCC